TGCTTGGACCTCTGGGATTTCTCTCTCCATGTGTGGTTGGAGTCTATAGCAGTTAAAATATAACAGTAAGGTAAATGACTATTGTGAGAGCTAGCATAGTGTTTATTTATATGCTGCCTTTCTCCAAGAGTGGGATCTAAGCAAGGTGGCTCATAGCAGGTACCCAATCAAAAGCCTCAGTGTAATCTTAAAAACAATTAAAATAGTCACAATTAAAACAATATAAAATCAACAAAACATTTTTTTAAAAAAACCAAATAAATAAATAATGCACACATCTTCTTGTTGTGTGCCTTTAAGTTGTTTCCAACAACTATCACAGGGTTTTCTTGGCAAGATTTGTTCAGAAGGGGTTTGCCATTGCCTTCTCTGAGGCTGAGAAAATGTGGCAACCCTATTAATGCAGGGTTTTCATGGCAAATTTCATCAGAGGGGGTTTGCCATTGCCATCCCCTGAGGCTAGAGAGTGTGATGTGGCCAAGGTTACCCAGTGGGTTTTCATGACTGAGTGGAGATTCGAACCCTGGTCTCCAGAGTCATAGTCCGATGCTCAAACCACTATACCAGGCTGACCCACACACGCAAATGAAAAAGCCTCCCTGGCACAGTTACATATTAAAAGCCTGCTGAAACAAAAACGTTTTTTGCCTGCTGATGAAAGGAAAGCAGGGAGAGGGAGCAAAACTAGCCTCCTGTGAAAGGGCATTTCAGAGATGGGAGCAGCCACTGAGAAGGCTCTATCTTGCATCCTCACCAAGTATCCCTGTGATGGGTTGAATCCCCATTCAGCCACAGAAACCCACTGGCTGGTCTTGGGCAAGTCACATTTTCTCAGAGAAGGCCATGGCAAACCCCTTCTGAACAAATCTTGCCAAGAAAACCGTGTGATAGGATCAGCTTAGATTTACCATAACAAAACAATTATTAGCTGCCTTTTCATGACACCCCAAATCTGATGTCTGGAAAGCAGCAAGTTGTCATTGTTCTTCAGGAAGAATCCCAAAGGTGATGGAAGTGGACTTAAAAGCATGTGTTGCAATGAGTTAGACAAAACCTATTCCTAAATTAGTGTGGATGGGACTGGAAAATTTCACAAAGGAGTTGTGGAGAAAAGAGACCAAAGTCTTTGTCTGCAGTTTATGGTCCTCTTCACACTGTACAATATTATTTAGGGCCTTTACAGACTGCCAGAAATAATGCAACTTGAATCCACTTTAACTGCCCTGGCTCAGTGCTAGGGAATCATGGGAACTGTAGTTTATTGTGGTACCAGAGCTCTGACAGAGAAGGCTCAATGTCTCAGAAAAAACTACAATTCCCATGATTCCCTAGCACAGCCAGGGCAGTTAAAGTGGACTCAAGTTGCATTATTTCTGGCAATCTGTAAAGGCCCGTACTCTGGTTTTTTTTTAAAGCTAATTCTTCAGTGGGGATCTATTTCACTGCTTTGCATTAAACAGTTGGATCACAGTGCAAAGCATAAAAGGAATCAGTTTTATGTTGCACTAAATATTTTTGAAAATTTTAAAGGCTTTGAGATCAGTTAAAACAAAAACACCTGCACTGACCCTCACTAATTCATGAAAAGTATTAAAACATAGGGCTGAAATGTTTGACCACACAATAAATAGATATAATACTATGTATAATCTATTTTTATCTATTTTATTGACTGTATGTACAGTGCTGTGTAAATCTACAGCGCTATATAAATAAACTGTAATAATAATAATAATAATAATAATAATAATAATAATAATAATAATAATGCATTGTTAACTACCCTTGGGTCAACTGTGACTCATAGCAACCTCATGAATGAGGCATGTGGTCCTATATGCTCAGGGCTGTGCCCCCCTTGAGTGTGTCTATCCACCTGGCATGTAGTCTTCCCCCTTTTCTGTTGCCTTCCACCTTTCCTAGCAATATTCTCTTTTTTAGTGAATTCTGCCTTCTCATGTGGTCGAAGTACGACCACCTCAATTTAGTCATTTTGGCTTCCAGGGAGAGTTCAGGCTTGATCTGTTCAAGGACCCATTGATTTGGCTTTTTGGCCATCCACCACATTCTCAGCATTCTTTTCCAGCACCACACCTCAAACAAGTTGATCTTCTGTCTGTCAGCCTTCTTCACTGTCCTGCTCTCACATTTAAAGATCCTGACAGGAAATACTATGGCTAAGGCGATCCTAAATTTGGTGTTCAATTTCATATCTTTGCACTTGATCTTGTCTAGTTCTTTCATAGTTGCCCTTCTTCTGATTTCTTGGCTTCAGTCTCCATTCTGATCAAAGATTGATCTGAGGTATGGGAAATCTAATTATTTCAATTTCCTTGTTTGCTAGTTTGCATTTATGTAAATCCTCTGTAGTCATTATTTTTGTTTTCTTAATGTTCAGCAGTAAGCTTGCCTTTACACTTTCTTCTTTAACTTTAGTAATTATTCCAAGGCTCTGATGTTTTCTGCAAGTAGTATGGTGTCGTCTGCATATCTTAGATTGTTGATATTCTTTCCAGTCTTCACTCCTTCTTCCTATGAGTCTAAACCTGCTCTGTGTATGATATTTTCTGTATACATGTTGAACAAATAAGATGATAGAATGCAGCCTTTCCTAACTCCCTTTCAAATGGGAAGAATT